GTCCACTCCAACTCTAAATCAATAATGGCCTTTTGGATATACAGTCGCAAGCTTGCAAGGCCAATGCGCCCTAAAAAGACGCCTGCATGACAGGCTTGATTGTGCCTGATGATTTTGTGGTGTTTTATTTCGTTTTTTTCTTTTTTTTTCTTTTGTCATTTTAACAGGGAACAGTTATAATCATAGCCAATCATGGGGAAAGGATTGATATTCCTTCAGGTTCACTTTTAGAAAACAAGATTGTTTCTGGAAATCTGAGAATTTTACAGCATTAACAAACAGGAAAAAAGCTTATTACGTATTTTATCAGTTACCGATAATGTTGACTGTGATTTTTCTCGTGATATTAATCGTAAAAAATATTTAGCCTGTGTTTAACTGTCAGTTGAAGTAAACGAGCGAGGAAATGAGCGCGCGAAAAATGGCCAGCAAGCTGATGCGACGGTGGTGTTGTCAGGGAAACGACTGTGTCGCAGTTTTTTCGCGCGCCCTATTTTTCGCTCGTCTCCAATGAGCCTGGGATAGACTGAAAAATATTTCGTCTGACTCGTGACGCTACAGGTGCGATTGCGTGATGCCGTATAAGGAGTAACGTTTTCTGCACTGTGTTATGAAGTGTGGTTTGTAATTGTTAGTCAGTGTCTAGTTCACGTAATTATGGTTAAATATTGATTGTAGCAGTTTATTTAAGGTTTCTAGCAACTGTTGTAAAACAACATATGACCAAAATATCGAGTGCATTGACGTTTTCAACATTACCTTTAAATATCCTTTCAAGGCGGGTTATGATACGGAGTAACACTAGTTATTACAGTGATCAGGGCAATCATAGTTGCTTCATTTAGGTACCTTCAACACTTGCTAGTTTGCATGCCTAGCGGTGATCTGCTCTAATTTTTTCCACCTTTTACAAACAGCGATAAGATTCAGAACAAGATCACGAACAACATTCTTGTTTCTTTTTTTTACCTCGATATCAAGTCAAGCTCGTTAGTTTTGACCCTTAAAAACCATGACACAAGGAGAGGACAAAATTTGCTTTGTGAGGAAAAATTATTACTTAAACTGTAGCTGTTGCATGAAGCCCATTCCCTCTCATTTCACCTCATGTCCTCAATACATTTAGAGGACGAGGCAGAATTTGGCAAGAATTTCACCCTTTCTGTACGTATCTCCAGTCGATAACTTTCTCTCGATTAAAGCTTACATCGGCAAAATCTTGGGACCTTGAATGTACATGGAAATCACATAAATTGTGAACAAATTTCCTACAAATGGTAGTAGTGATAATATATTTAAGCACACTACTTTATTTCTCTGCTTTTGAGAAGATGTAGGCAAGTACTTAGCTCGGAATTTGGGAATACAATAAAGTTTATAAGTTCATGTACATCGATTTTTTACTTTGTTTTCTTCATTGAAATTTGACCCATGTGTTCCTTCTTTACACATAATCATCCTTTAAAATCTCCCCTCTTGAGGATCAGAAAGCCAGTTCGTTTTCGCGTAAGGTCCATTGTAATGCTCGATATGATTTCAGTCCTTGTTACAGCATTTCTTGTTAATCCTGGGCTGGGCTACGCTCGATTGGCTCGAGTACCCTCTTT